TGCTTGCTAATAATTTGGAGTGATTTATGCATAAGATAAGGTTTGAATTCAATGAACTGTATGACTTTTTAAATTAAAATTCTATGGCTTTTGTCCCAAGACTGTGCCTATTAAATTCTCTGTCATCATATTTAGTTTTTGGGTTTCCTTAATAATGACTTATTTTCTCCTTTTAAAGAATGTTAGCCAAGGAGAAGCTCATAGTTCTTTCCACAACTCTATTTGGCCAGTTTGATTATTTTTAATATGTGTATGTTTTGGCTCTCCTGATTTGTTAATGTTTTTTTTTTTTGTTAATGTTTTTAATTAGGCAGAAAACCAAAAGCATTTAGATGAAAAGAAACAATTTGAGAAGATTGCTGAAGAATTAAAAGGAACAAAACAAGAACTAATTGGTCTTCTCCAAACCAGAGAGGTTTGTTTAAGGATAAATTTTTATTTCAAATATTTCTTGAATACCACAGGTTTACAAAATAGATTATGGTATAGCTATTTGCTCTGTGAAAGATTTCTTCACCAAATTCCTTTCAAAAGTGTGTGTTCTTGTTACACTTAATATGCTAATTGATTTAAAAACCATCTAGAGAATCTTCATTATTGTAATGTGGGAGAAAAGGTCAATATTTAAGATATCAATACAATGCATAATGCTGTGATTTATAACAAATACATTTCTTGCTCTCTAAAGTATTTCTTTTTATTTTTTGAGATGGAGTCTCGCTATGTTGCCCAGGCTGGAGCGTAGTGGCTGTTCACAGGCATGATCATGTTGCACTACAGCCTTGAACTCCTGGGCTCAAGCGATCTCCTGCCTCAGCCTCCTAAGTGGCTGGGACTACAGGTGCATGCCACTGTGCCTGGCCAAGTATTTCTTAATTGGTATATTTAAAGTTTAGTTTTCATTAAGTTAGATTCTTAGTTTGTAATACTTTTTATAGTACTCATGTTATAATTTTAGAGTTTGTCTTTTATTATAAAGTATGGTTATTATAACTTATCTTTTTATAATAAGAACATATTAGTTTTAAAGATACTACCTGAATTCTTAATGTATTTCTCTTTAACAATATAACATTTTAATTGAAATTAATTACTTGGTAGGGTAAAATTGATAAAAAATATTTTATAATATGTAAATATTCTACCGGTTGAGCTTAGGAATATCAAGATAGCATTTACTTATATTGAATTTTTCATTGCTCATTGTTTTAAAATTATAATGATTATCACCTTAAATCTACTTAAAATGTTTGACATAACCTGCCAAATTTTTGCCAAAAATATGACTTGATTACACCATGACTATACCTTTTAAGTGAGAAGATTGGAAAAACACTTGCTATAGTTATACATGTTTATTTTGCAGAAAGAAGTACATGATTTGGAAATAAAATTAACTGCCACTGCAACAAGTGAACAGCATTATTCAAAACAGGTTAAAGATCTGAAAACTGAGCTTGAAAATGAGAAGTATGTTTTCCATCTATCTATAAATAGCTTATGTATTCAATTCCTAAGCTTTCTGGTAATAAATAATAAGAATATATTAGTAAATTATGTTCAAAATTTATTTGAATTTGAAATTGTATTTTATTCCTTCTTAAATATAAAATAATTTACCAATTTCATTGCTAAGGGAAGTACATATCACTGATGTAAAAAGACTATATCACAAAGTTGAGAACCACTTTAGAAGATCAATGTATTACTTTTCTTGGAGGTATTTAATTCCCCATAAAAATGATAATTTGCAATTCTAACTAGTTATTTTGGCTGTTTTGCTCTCTTATTATATAGGTTTATATTTATAAAATGTCAAAATACAAGTTCATTTCTTACATTATCCAAATAAAATATTTAATCAAATGATTTACCTACCCAGTAAGTTTAATTTGGAGAGAAAGTAGGGGAAATAATTATTGCATTGTTACTCAGAAGTAAATTCAAGAAACCAGTTTAGTGGTGAATATGGTTTTTCCCTTTTGGTTGCTTCTCAGCTCTAGATAAAAGTGAAAAGTACACAGTTTATGCAGCATCCTCTTCCTTCCCTTTTAGCTCCCACTGTCTGTTTCTGGTACCCTATTAACAGTACTTTTTAGGACCCCTGGCTAAAATTCATCTATTAACCAAAATCTCTTTTAATGAGTGGATTGGTTAGTTATTTGTACTTTAGTGTAAATTTATGTTATCCTGAGTATATTTGCTTTTCAACCTTTTGTTGCTTAGGAAAAAGCTTTATGTCTCTTTCATGAATTTCTGATATTATTAAGTAGGAGGAGATAATAGGTGCTCCTGAAATCACTCCATAGAAGCCACATACTCCTCTGCATTCATTTAAAATTGATCCTAGCTACATCCAAAAGCAGCAATAATCTCTCTTCTGATGCAGAACATTTGGGATCTTCTAAAAGCAAGTTGGGTGTTGTGCATGAAAAGTTAACCCCAGTTTTATTTATTTTAATAAAAATTTGTAAAATTGAAAATAGCTCATGCTCATGTGCTATTTAAATTACCAGGAGTTTGAAACAATTTTCAAGAGACAGTCTACTAAAGAGAAAAATATATGTGAAGGAAATAATGTACCCTTCAAAATTTGTAGGAAAGTATGGGAGGGATGAAAGTATGGGGAATATGCAAGAAAATTTATTTTATGACATTTTGAAAACTTATTATAGAAAAACATTAAACATTACAAAGAGGGAATAATGTAATGAACTACCAGCATGAACCTATCACCCAGCTTTAGGAATTATTAACCAATGGCCAATTCTGTTTCATTTATCCTCCCAGTCCTTCCGCCCTTTCCCCTAAGATTATTTTGAATTAAATTCCATATCATATAATTTCATATGTAAATATTTTGGTATGACATATTTTTTTAAATAGGCTTAAGAATACTGAATTAACTGCAAGCTGCAACAAGCTTTCACTTGAAAACAAAGAACTAGCACAAGAAACAAGTGATATGGTCCTAGAAATCAAGAAACAGCAAGAAGATATTAATGTGAGTTGACAAAGAAAGAACTGGTGACTTAGTTTTCTTACCTGTAGAATTAGGGTATTAGAATAGATGACTTCTGAACATTCTTTAAGCTTTAAAATTCTGATTGTTTTAGAGCTGAAACTTTGTTTTAGAAGAAAAATATGCATGCTGGTCTTAGATGGTGATAATGGACAAGAAGGGCTACTCTCTGATCATACAGAGGCTAATCATAGATATTAATAAATTTAATTTTAAACATTAAGATTTAAAAAAATGTTTAGCCAAGAAGTATTTATTAAGACATATAAGACTGTGGAGGATGCAGTGATGAATAAGATATCCTTTCTCTTTAAGAACTTATGACTTCATAGAAAAAAATAACAAATACATAAAATAGTATGTCATGTGTTGTTAGTGAGACAGTGTTATCGGAGTTCACAGGATCACTTGTGCTTCGGTTGAAAATAAATCAATGCTATATTCAGAGAGAACATAGCATTGATTTTGGCCGTAAGAGATGAATTATGAGTTCAGTAGGTAACAGTGAATGTAAAACATTCCTTGAAGCCACAACAATGTGAGCAAAAGATACAAGACTCAAAGTAGCACCAGGAAACAGCAAATAAGACTTGTGATATTAGCTGTTTTATAGTGATTGTTAGGAAAATATTTAAAGTAACAGTGGAAAAGTAGTATGGAACTATGTAAGTTAAATAGCTCATTCTTTTGCTTTAGATATAACTAAATTCATGCTGAAAGATAAAGGTCTTAAATATTAGTTTCAATTTCATTTTTGTTGAAACAAAATAATTAATATAAACAACATTGATTATTTCTTTAGAATAGAAAACAGCAAGAAGAGAGGATGTTGAAACAAATAGAAAATCTGGAAGAAGCAGAAACACAATTAAGGCAAGACTAATGAGTTGGCCTTTTTTGTCTGGAGAAAAATTTTAATATTTGTTTTCTATTGTTAATTTAGATTAAACTTAAGTTGAATATTGTATAAAGTAAAAAATTAGACTTAA